AGTGGCAACCCACGGTATTAAAAGTGCAATACAGGCAACAACATATGAAAAAATGTTGAGTGAAAAATTGGTTCCCTTGTGTATTGACCATATCAATTTCAGCATATTTAACAGTACCGTGAAAGCAGACATGTACAAATTACTCAAAAAAGGTAGTTAAGTTAAGTTACTGAGTATCGACGCCAAAAGTAATTAGAGTAGAGTAGAAATTACGCATTTGTAATAGTAATTGAGTAAACTACTAACTACTGTAAAAAGTAGCGAATTACTTTGAAGTTACTTTCGAAGTTACTTTTTTATATTTTTGTGGTAGCAAAATGAACAGCAGTTCTGATCAATGAAAAACCCTGCGAGCCTAAAATAAATACAGTCTCTTTATGGCTTGCGTTTTCGCCAAAATAGTTCATTCGCTCGCAAAAGGAATTGACTTTCAAAGTTCTTGATAGGAGAGTTTTCCTCTTTTCCTTCTAAAGACGTCCCCAGCCAAGCTAAATAGACGTTCCACCGACGGGCTGGATGGAACGGCAGCGTTGAATTTGAGAAACAGGCTGTGCAGGGTAGGGTAAGCGAGTGTCGTTATCTTAGGTGTCCATGACGAAACATGTGAGGTTTGCCTCGGGTAGAGGGTCTTTTATAACAAACTTTCCTCCTTTTTTTTTTTTCTTCGTAAAGTTGAGATTGTTATAACTGGCCCCTCTTTATTCCGACGGCGTTCTGAGAGTACGCTGAGCGAGTGCACAAGACAGTCAAGGGTTCAAGTCTCGCGCCACGACGATGAGATCATCCGGACGACTGCGCGTCCCGTTGTACAGCTAGTGCTACGCTACTGAAAAAAAAAATATTTTGGTTTAACAGAAGATGAACCGAAGCATACTTTGCCGCTGACGCCGGGCCTAACAAAAGGATCTCCCAAGGGTAACTCGCAATCCTCGCCGGCGACTACAATATTCTGACGCGTCTGAATCTTTTTTAACAAAGGTGAGGTCTCCCAGGCATGGATGCTCGAAAGGACGCGAAGGTATACGTGAACAAGCATCGTCGCTCGTATAAAGTTGGAGCTGGAAGCGGGAACGTGCTCCCATGAACGGATTATCCGTACCAGGGTTTGTGCGCGGGGGAGTCCGGCTTTGCAAAGGCGTATGCGCTGACGACAAGGCGACCATGGGAGCAGGCGCCCAGCTGCGAGGTCATTCCAGTGGCGCCTCCCGTGGAACGTGCCACTTGAGTCAGAACTCACTAAAGACAGACAACACGAAAACAACTCTCAGAGTGTCCCCGTCTTTCACGGTTGCAGCTGGAAACGCGGCGCCTGCGTGCATTACCGGATTACCGGTGTTATGTCTTGGCATAACCCGTCACCTTGGTCCAAGGACGCCTTCCCGAACAAGGGGGCCCCTTGTTCGGGAATGCCACTTCATCTGCCGGCGTCTTATTCATTTCTGCGCTCAAACTTTCGTGATGGGCAAAATTAGCACTATATAATTTCGAAAGTAGTTAGTAATTTGAGTAGAAGTTACCTGAAAAAAGTAGTTAAATTAAACTACTAATTACCCAAATCAAGTTGTAATTGAAAGTTACCAAGTTACTCGAAAGAGTAGTTAAACTACAGTAGTTTGAGTAGAGTAGTTGAACTACGTTCAAGTCTGCGTGAAAGCCTCAGCGCTATAGAAAAATTGACGGTGCATTTCATTATTTCATTCCAGATAAGCTCAAAAACAAAATGAACGGCTCAAATAAACCAATGAGAAAAAATAGGGAGAGCTGATAAAGTGCAGTTCGATAACATAATTGATAACCACAATATAAATGTTTTCGCTATTTCGATATAAGCATTAAAGCTGTACAATGCGTTAGTCAACATATCCTCTCAATTTTCGTTCCCGTGGACAAAAAAAGTTGAAAATAAAATAAAGTCAAACTTAGAATTGCAACAGAAGTTTTATATACAATAAATTATAAATATTTCCTCTGAAAACGTTGCAAACATTCGTCAAGAAATATATCACCGAAAAACGACCTCGAAAGAGCAAGAATTAAAGCGTGCGCCTTATTTTGTTCCTCTAAGCGTTGATTTTTAAAATTGAATATGAAGGCAATCGTTTTGATACCGCAAAAAATTGGGGGTTAGCCAATCTGGTACAAGGGGGTAAGAAATGATATTTCAAGTAATGACATAATATATAAGTCATTTCCGCAAGTTACGCAAAAAAAAAAGAAAAAAAAAAGAACATTGAAGACAATTATCTTTTTTTGTTCGTATCTCCGGGACGACAAACAACGATAGTCACGGCGCAACTGATCTTACACGGAATGTGCGTAATGAGGCTTCAACATTTACTCTCCTGATATCTGAAGATGAGCTACGTGATTATTTATATTCAATAAAGAAAAAAAAAAACACCGGGCCTCGAGAAAATACGCATACGTAACGTGCCAAGAAATTTTCATAGACATGTACTTCAAGAAGTGCTGAATAATGTCATTGATACAGGAAACTGGCAAGCAGGAATGAAAACAGATGTTGTGAAACCGCTGTATCTAGGAGGATCAACGAGATAGTATAAAAACGATCAGCTAACATCTGTACAAATATTAGGCACTTCAGAATTACTAGAAAAATACTTGTTTTTCTAGTAAAACACTTTTAAAGGTAATGAGCAGTTCTTCAGAACGGTTTGATTTATTATCCGATCTCCTGTACGGTTTCGGTTCTGAACGGGGAACTGAAGCTGTATTTTTAACTTTTGCCGACTGCTTACACGCAGGGTTTCATAATATTTCGTACACTTGTGCAGTGTTCCGAGATGCGTCAAAAGCTGTTGAGAGCATGAACCATAAAATACTGTGTTCTACATTAAAAAAACAACCGCATCTCCACGTGGTGAATGGTATTGATTGGGGCGAAGCTCTGGTAGTGCTTGTCTGCGTTGACGGTGAGCCGCAGCATGCCGAGCCTTTCGTTCGTTTTCATACATGTCACGTTGCGGTCAAATGCTCAAATGCGTATATAACCACGTTCCATATCACGCATTATCTTTCTGACTTAGATGAAAACGAACGAAAGGCTCGGCATGCTGCGGCTCACCGTCTACGCAGACAAGCACCACTAGAGCTTCGCCCCAATCAGCATCATTCACCACGTGAAGATGCGTTTTTTTTTCCTACACGAGCACGGGCGCACGTGCTCACGTGCTCGTGAGCACGTGAGCTCGTGAGCTCACGAGCAGGAGCACGTGCACCCGACGGCGGACGGACATACGGACATGGCTAGCACCTAAGGAGCTTCGCCCCAAAAAACTCGCTTTTAGGGGCCCATTCTCTTCGCATTTAAAAGGCTACCTCTCAGGACTATCACTAGTCGTGTATTTTAAGAATCACAAGAGTATTAGAAGTTTTCTGAGTGCCGGGGTGCCGCAAGGCTCAGTCCTGTCGCCCTTGTTGTTTAACTTTTATGTAATTGATATTCCTAAGGCTACCTTTGGATATAAAATATAACAATAGGCAGGCGACACGGTTGTGCCGCAGATTATAAAATTGCCGTTTAAAAACCTCAAGAACATCGTATTTCGACAATGGACTGCTTCCATGCTAACTTAATTAAAGCTAATGCTTCAAATACAACCCATATTTCTTTTAAACACCTTCTCAACCAGGTGGATATGTCAAATACTGTAGCGCTTCCACCTGTAGTTCTTGTGGGTGCAAACCTAGGTTCAGTATGTGATATCGGTAAAATACTTGGGGATTTACTTCGACTGTGACTTGTCATGGTGTACTCATATTGTCACCGGTGGTGATTAGAAGAACAATTAGCAAACAGGAGGAAATTAACGTTTACTAGGGCAAACTTGTGCCCAAAATAAAGATAACACAAAGAATAAGAACAGAGCGTCGCGGGCGTCGAAGTCTGCGTAACAGCAGGTTCAAGAGCTGGGGCGAGACTGACACCGGCTCACCACATTTTGTACACGCGTTGGCTTCTGGAACAATCGACGTAGAAGATTCGGCGCGAATAACATTCTGAACTTGAATCAGCAAGGCAGTTCTCGAATTCACCAGAACATCACATTACAGAGTCAACAAAAATGAGTAGCCGCGGCCAGGAATCGAACCATGGCCTCCTGCGTGGAAGGCAAGCGCGATAACCGTTAGGCCACGAGCGCGCTGCCTACTTGGTCAGCTGGGCGCGCGGCAATATGACGTATTTATGTAAACAATTAAGAAGCGTCTCATGTTGCCTTTACAATGTCAAACTATTCTTGCCCTTCTGGTAGTAAAATGATAACAGATCCCTTGACATATGTCTACTTTCGGTACGGCATAACCATTTTTTCAGTTTGTTTCTTTTTTTTTTTTTTTTTGCGCGGCATAGAAAATTATTTATTAAGAGGTATTTTGAAAAGTATAATTATGCATATTTCACGAACTTCAACTCACGTCTTTTGAGGGACGTTTTAAAGAAACAGTGGTCCCACAACACTTCTGGTATTCTTTGTTTAAAACGCCATATCTGAAGTAGCGACCAATGAGACCATCACTTCGTTTCGACGTACCGCGCGTCAGAATAAAATATTTTGAGCGTACATGAATGCTCTTTTACCACGTGTTTTCAACCACCTACCAGAGGCATTGCTTTCTATAACATGTGAATAAAAACTTGCAAAAAGCATTCCAAAAGTTAGGACAGTGAGTAGGCATTTTTTGTTTCATTGTTTTATGATATCTCAAATGTAATGCTGTTTCTTTTTTTTTTTTTCGCTCTTGTCAAAATAGTCTAGGTCTTCTGAAGCATGCTTTCGATGGTAAATCGATATACCCAGTTTTTAATTATACCGCTACTTCTCCACTTGCCGAGCAAGGTACCTAAGCCCCTGAGGCTGATACCGGCTCGCTAGTTGTATTGTGGACAGCGTTACTTATAAAAATAAAGCTATGTTCTATGTTGTATGTTCTACTGAAACAACATCAAACTGGGGTTGGTGTAAACACATAGTACTTACATTATTCCGGCTTGCGTGTCGTCGATAGGTGGAGCCTGGTTTGTCACGCAGTCTTGTACCTTTACCTCCATGTCACTGATCACGACTGGAAGACAAGTGCGAAGCATAACGTCAGAAGTAAAAAATTACAAGCTCGAAGTTCTTTGCTTTCTTGTTTCATAATCTCAGTTTTTTTGTTATTTTTTTTTTCTAGGCCGTTTTTAAACTTATTATATACGTTAAGGGCACAAGGAATGAAGAATATACGATGATTACAAGCAGGCAAAACAGGGACGAAACTTGAGAGGCCACGGTTTGTACAATGCAAGTCATAAGTAAATCCTGCTAGGTCGCAGGCATATGCGCGGTTAAAGAGATACAGTGAAATATACTGTGAGATTCCCATCAAGAATTTGACGGTGGTAAAGTGTTGAACGTGTGATTCTTGGCTACGGGTCTGACACTAGCTTCGCGCTCTTTGTGGCACGCAGCAGGACGCGCGTGTAGCGACGCGAACACGTGGTAACTGGCGCTCTGCGGGTTCACCTGTGGTGACGTCATTGGAGGAAAGGCGCACACCTTGTGTTTTATACACCATTGAAAAGAAAATAATTTAGGTTGCCGCCACGTTGCTGATGATGAAGCAGCTGGTGCGACTCTCGCGCTCCCTGTCACTTCAAATTGGCTGCCACTCTTTTTGACTGTTTAGAGCAGTGAAAACCTTCGCAGGGCGATACTCCGTATATGCTTTGCGGCTTTGCATTCCAAGTTTTCAGGGTTCTTCTGAAAGTTTCCGCTTTATTTCACTTACGCATGCTGCGTACACTTTTTGTGTTAAGTTCCACCATGAGAAATAAGGCTGGTAAGCTCATGCGATTCAAGCGTTTCTGGTGGACATTCACGCGAAACGAAGGAAGAGAGGACGTCGAAGGCCCCTCTCCACGATTTTGCAAACAATGACAATTGTTCTTCACACTCGCAGAGATAATCAGAGTAGAAACCTTCTGAGTCAACGCCAAAATAGCTTTTCGGGTTCAGACGAGGAACGAACTAGTCGCGCCCGTCCTTTTGTCTTAGTGGTTATTTTGTGAAAAAAAAAAAGTTGTCCCTAAAAGTTGCCCCAAAACTAGGTTATCTTGGATTCCGTCCGATCATCGAGATGTGACTGCCGTCGACACCATTGTGGTGTGTTATTTGAGATATTTATAAAATAAACGATTTTGGGATAGCGCTATACCGTGTGGTATATACAATAGATTGTTCGTATGCTGACACTCGGTAAATGTTATGTCTTGCCTGCCATGTTGATCCGCAGTCTCGCTATTTACGAGGTGTCAAATATGCCTTTCGGATAACGTCTCTTGTAATTTTTGGTTTTAGTAAGCTAAGCGCTTTGTCGATTGTACGGGTTGAGTAGGCGGCGCAGTTAAAACGGATAGTAATATAAAACAAGCGTTTCATTGGTATTCACTTTGTCGTGCACGTAACACGAAACATCCTTGACAGTATTTTGTTTATTAAATACAGTATACTGGTTTCTTATTGACATCGAAAAGATACATACACAATATTACATAAACAGAAAAGAAAAAAAAAACGGGGAAGGCGATACTTTAGTCGCCAGCAGTGTCTGAAATTGCGCCTGTGCTGGCTGCGGCTATGGAAATGAAAAGTTCACTCGGTTAGGGTTAGCAGTGACGCCGACTAGATACTAGCGTAAAACCCAGTGAGTGGGCTTCATGAAGGTTTTCCTGTCCTTGGGGCATAAAGTTTCTTATAAAAAAGAGGTGTATAGTCATTGACAAAATAAGAAGCCGGGAGTGTTTATCGAACAGCCCGCTTCGATCACGCGCTAAGAGCCTTCAACTGTGCTTTGGCCGCACGCTCGAGCTCGAGAAGCACGAGACGCTGAAGCATTGTCGAAGTCAGGAAGTTTCCGCTGGAAGCGGGACAACTAAAGCACCTCCCTGCCACTCTCCCCATGTCACCGGCTATACCTGGAATTGGTAAAGCACTCCTTTGCGTAAGGCCAGGCGTTATTAAACGAAGAAATGGTTGGGTTTTTTCTGAAAAAACAACAACAAAACATTCTTGTTCCCGCTGGCAACACTGCTGTATATCCTTTTGAGAAAACGGAAGCGCCGAAAGGGAATTGTGCTCGATGATCCAGAAAACAAAATGATTTTCGCGAATTTCAGTCAAACTACTCTCCTCATTGTATTATTATTTTGTTGCAGAAAAAGAAGCGACCTTAGGCACATATACCTTGCTCGAGACTGAAGGCTGATATTTTTTTTTCGGTATTGCAATAAACTTTGCCAATTTGCAAGAAGTTACATAATTCCTCTTTGTATAAATTTTTAAGCGCCATAAGTAACCACCACTAAGGTGTAATTTATTTTTTACTTATTTATCTGGAAGCTATTGAATGGAGAGACATTTATAGACCCATTTGTAGAATTTAGGAAAATAAAATATTTTAATAAATATACAGGGTGTCACAAAAGAAAATTTATAGGGTTTTTTTTACCGCAAAAATAAACTAGGCATTGCTAAACGCTCATTCTCCACCCAAAGGTAGCGCTATAGGTCACAACCAAATGCCAATGTTTCAGTCCGATCTGATACCTTATTCGAAAGTTGTAAGTGATTTTCTGGAAAGTTCAATGGGAAAATGTCGGCCAACGGAGTTTTCGAATACATGGGGCTCTATGGCGCCAGAAACCGAAAACTGGCAAAAATGGGCTCCACGTTCCCGTTGAACTTTCAAGAAAATGACATAACTTTAGTGTAAGGTACTAGATCGGGCTGAAACTTTGGCATCTGGTTGTGACCTCTAGCGCTACCTTTGGGCGGAGAATGAACGTTCAGCGATGCCTAGTTTATTTTTGTGGCAAAAAATGCCTGTATTTTTTTTGTGACACCCTGTAGTATGATATATGTTAACCCTGCTAAGCCTATATATACAATAAAATATAAATTGTGATTTTAATTTTGTTTTATTTACATTGTACCTACATCGCCCTCTGGGCATTATTGTAGGGGGTTTTAAAACCCATTATTTCAAGTGGAAAAAGAAAACGTCATTATCATCAATGGACACAATATCTTCCAGGAGGTCGTTCCACTCTTTTGCGGTTTTGACAAGGAATGAATTAGCAAGACTGCCAGTCCTGCACGTGGAACAGAAACCTTTTTAGAATGATCACAACGGGAAGAGATGTAAGATGGCTCCACAAGATAGGCGACAGGCATTATCAATTCCCGTTTCGTTGTGAAGGACACGGTGGAAGAATTTTAGTCTCAGTTTTTTTCGTCTACATTCGAGTGTTTTCCATCCCAGTATAGCTTTCGTACGTGTAACCATTAGGGTCATAATTGTTCAGTAAAAAACGTGCGACCTGATTTTGAATTCTGTTTAGTTTGTTGATAAGCAAGTCGTGATAAGGGTCCCACACAACGCACGCCTAATCAAGGATTGTTCTTACCAAAAAAATGAAGTGTTTCTTTAACGTTTATGACCCTCATCAAAGATTACCGCGGATAAAATAAAAACTTTAGCTAACCTTTCCGATTGTAGGTTCTATATGGCTGCACCATTTTAGGGAATCCGCCAATAGCACTCCTAGGTAAACATACTCGAACACAGTACATAAAATGGTCCCACTGATTAGGTAACTTTGAGAATCGCGCAGCTTATTGCTCGAGAAACGAATATGTTTGCATCTACTTAAGTTCAGTCTAATTTTCCATTGATTGCACCAAAAGCTAAAATGTTTACGTTGGTTTGTAATTTGGCAAGGTCGTCTGACGTGTTTATTTCCCTGTACAATACGCAGTCAAGGGCGAACAGTTTAATATGAGACTGTATGTTTTCGGTGATGTCATGTAGGTTTATAAAAAAAATTAAAGGCCATAAGGATTTCCCCTGTGGCACACCCGAAGAAACCCGAGTTGATGTGGACGTAGTACCGCAATATTTGAAGCACTCGAAGCATTGATTTGGGAGAGCTCCACCGCAATATTAAAAACTATTCAGCATAACACACAACTGTTCAAAGTAAACGCACTTTTCTCAAAGTTTAAAATATGGCAACCACAGAACGAAAAAATATTTGTACGAAATATTTTAGCCTCATGTGAGAAGTGGTGCCCACTGAAAATATGTTTTGTTCTAAAAAAAACCTGACCAAATTGATTTACCTGGACGAGCGGTTTAACGTCTAAGGACCTTTTGTAATATGCACGCAACATACAAGACCAACAGACTTACCGAAAAAAATATATCACAAAGCCCACACAACCTTGGGGTTGCGGAAAAATATGCCATTATCACTTATCTTCAAAAAGCAAACGCAGAGCGCGATCCCGTTGATGTTAACAAACCTCCTATTGGTCTTTGAGAACAACGTAGTACAATATTTCAATCACTACATAGCATTTTTTATCTGAACTTACATTTACAAAATTTGAAATCGTATTTCTATCCATAACAAAAGTGAACTCGCAAAAAACAAAAACTACTTTAGTTTGTATATTTAAAGCAACTCAAAAGCCGAAAATTGTGATCAACACCATTGCGGTGGACATCACAACGAAGTACTAAAAATGGTCCTCGATTATAAAAATGTTTAGTTATCTTTGGCCTGAGTAATTAGATTGCCAATTCATTTTTTTTCTTGTTGGGTGTCTGAAGGTGTTCGATTCTTCAGGTGAAATGTATTTGACATGGAGAGTACCTATCTAAATATAAATGCGATTCGTGCTGTCGTTTTGATTATAAAACTTAACGCTGTCGGAGAAATGTGCACCATTCTCAATCTCAAAAAAAAATTAAGGACGGCATAATCAAAGCGAATGAGAGCCTATATTTAAAGCGGTACTCCACTCTTTAGTATTCGAAGGTCTTTTATCGTCTTTACCTTTCTCAGTCGTGTGCCTGCCACGTGTTCTAGCAATGGCTTAAGAATATAAAATAAGTTGTAAGGCGTTAAAAAAAAGAAAGAAACTGGTTTCGAATTTACTTGTTATTCACTACAGGAAAATCGTGGAGGCCGTTCGACCCTCTTCGAAGCGCTACATTCATCTGGAACAATTAAGGTTGGAACATACCGGAATATAACATTTTTAGGAGTGCGCTTATATTGGATTCAACACGCTTTCGAATGACACGAGGCGGTCGCACTACTCATTCGCAATTGTATTGCATACTGGATTAAGTTTCGGAACTTTGGTGTTGCATCACAAATTGAACGAAATCCAACATTTACATTTCTTAGAGTTACCCAAAAACACTTTTTTTATATATTCTCTGTCGAGTTCAAAATTTTGTTTTCGAATCAATCTGTTCAAAATATTACACTTTTAGAGAATAAAAGTAGCCCTTTATAACTAAGGTGTTTTACCAGCCTTTGTGAATATTTTTATTTGTTAAAATCGAGAATTATAAAAAAAGAAATGATTCCTTTGGGATGAAGTTGTTTTACTCGGCGGGCGTCAAGGTATGATTAAAGAGTAGTATGGAAAAACTATTTAACTAACTGTACTAATACTGTTGTTTGCAAATATTCGCCTCTGAAGAAACTTTCTAATTGGGGGTTTTTCTTACCGTTGTCAATTGAAGGAAGTTATAAAACTAAAATCTCACCCGAGCTAACATTATATAGGGTACTTTTTTGTCACGTGTGTTTAAGGAAGAATCGTGGTTAGTAGCCATATATATTCGACATGATAAAACAGCGCACAGAACACGGAGGAAGAAAAAAGGACCGGCAGAACGAAAGAACGCTGACTCCAAGCTTGTTTATTTTGAGTGGAGAAAAAACAAGCCGTAGAAATGAACCCCACGTGATAGTTAATAAAGAGAGCAAAAGTAGAAAGAAAATATGGGCAAACATGATTCATTTGAGCGAAGAAGGAAACGTAATAAAAAAATCGTAAAGCATGGCCATGAAACAAAATAGAGAAAGTAAAATAAATATAAAATATAAAGAACTGAAAAAACGGTACTTTTTAGTACCGGCTGCCTCAATTAACTTGCCTTAAACGTCACCTAAGATTGTCAACTCCTTGGCACTCAACGACAGGAAAGGATGGCTCACGCATGCTGTCCTATTTCTTTTATTTAATAAGTCTCGAATATCTCTCGGGTAGTCCGATCTTCAAATCTCTCGAGTGTAGCCCTCCTGCCGTGGCGTGAAGGGAATAAAATGTTCTCTAAGCCGGTCGTTGAGGCATCTTTCATTCTGTCCTATGGACATTCTGAAAGATGCCTGCGCCTTGCGTGCAGGCATCTTTCAATGTGTTCAAGCTCGTTTCCTGCACCTTGCGTGGAGGAAACGAACTTGCTATTGTCTTTTTTGTGGCATGCGGTTTGTGAACGATTTCCAATTCCGGGGACGACTTTTGCACAGATCTTAGCTAACCTTTGGGGGGCAGAAAACACCACTGAGTCAGTTTACCTGTTGGCTTTTTGTTAAAAATTGCGGGACAATTTGTGCGAGCACGGGACTACTACCGGGCGCTTTCTTCAAATATTTTTCCCGGTGCTCCTAACCCCTTTAACGTTCTTCAACAAGAACCCAATTCCCTCTGTTAGGACTGCCAGAGGAAAACCAGATTCCTCAAGACGTAGGGATCTGAGATCTACAATGTGTTGTTTCTGAGGAACCAGATTCCTCAAGACGTAGGGATCTGGGATCTACAACTGTCCTTAACGGCGTGATGACACGACTTTGCCAGGGCGGAGCCTATAATGGAGACAACTATGCCCCTTTTGACAATCTTAGAATGAAAGGAAGTGTAAGGAAAAATGTCTTTCTTTGACCGAGAAAAAAGTCTCGCATAGGAGATTGGCTTGGGCCGACAATGATAGATCTAAAAATTGCAAGTTCCCATCTTTGGGTTGTTCAAACGTAAACTTTAGACTTGAACCGCACATAGGAAAGATTTTCAATGCTAGGTTTCCAACATACGACTTCATTTCGACGCTGAAAGCTTCTTCTTAAATGAATCCTGATGAGATAATCGGGCGTAAGCTTTTGAATGAGTAGCCAATAACAACTTTGTGCTACCTGTTGTGCAGTTAAATCAATCAAATATTTTCACAATTTTTTTCACCTGAATTGCATGTTTTTTTTTCCCCCTATTTCTGCGTAATACATGTATGACCAAATATTTAATGTTTGAGGCAAACATCAAGACAAAAATAAAGCCATCAGTTGAAAATGTTCTTCACTTACCGGATGCGAATAGCCGCCTACACGCGGCGAATAAAAAACAAATTGTATTTCTAAAATACTAAGAACTCCCACTTGGTTTACCAAGTTATTCACTAGAACATTATTTGTGCAAAACCTGCGGTTAATCGTCGGTTATATTTAAATCAAAATATTGTAATTTTGGGTTTTGAACGATATGTTGATATGAATGTATTATTATTAATGCGATATTAGCATGTACTATCAATGCTGTCATAATTAGCTCCCAAAAACGGTAACGGTTGAATATAATACCTTCTTGGTGTAATAAAGCCATGATATTTTTTAGCCATACAGAGACGCTTGATTCTCACCACTGTAGAATCGTTCACTCACAAAAATTTCATTCGGTGTTCAATCACTTTCCAAGCAATACCGAGTCTTCACCCTTCGGGTGTCACAAAGATGCTTTCGGGAAAACGTAGAACACAGTGGAAAACGGTCCCCTCTAAATTTATTGAGTAACAAAATCGTTGCATAATTGACGCAATTCGTGTCATGACATAATAATAATAGTAATAATAATAATAATAATAATATTAATAATAATAATGTTTTTTATTCACTTTTCAAAATACATGACACACGACACGCCGCGAGGGTGACGCCTCAGCACATGTTCTTCGCATGAATAATGAACAACTCAGCACGATAAGGTTCAGAAATGCTCTTGCATTACACTACTTATGCAGGAGGACAAAAAAATTCTAGACATATCACAAAAAAATTGCTTTAATATTACTTTACCGCACTCTCTTGAAAGGTTTTTGCTTCTGTTGCACCTAAAAATTGTAAGCAAAAAAAAAAAAGCAATGTGCCTGGACCCCCTGCTTCCAGAAAAAGTTAGAAGTGAACGTCCTTGGGCTCCAAAGCACCTCTTATTCTCGTCTTTTCTTTTTTTTTCTGCAGACGATTTTGAGATTTATATTATTTCGCCGACCGAACCACACCATCCTCAGTAGCGTCAAGGAACGGTCGAAGTTTTTAAACAGCCTCTTTCTTCTCACGGCATTTCCTTCGTGCAGACATAAGATGTACTGCGTTTTCTCCACTTACGAACCTCTGTCATATGAGCAGGTCATAATCCCAAAAAAAGCGGGTAAAATTTTAACAAAACAAAACAGCTAATATTTACCATTGGATTGCGCCGGTTAAAAGAAAAGTATCATAATCAACAACTATTTGTTTTTGTAAACCCGAAACAGGTATTCGGTGTGCTGCCTATAACATTATACGCACAACAACAACAAAAAAAAAAGACCTGCATCATTCAATTCCGCACCACCAGTATCTCTTGTACTTTACTTTGAACCTAGCCCGTCAGCGTGTTGCTGTAATCTCTCGCAGCTGTATTGAGCTGAGATTTCTCGCTCAAGGAAGGGAAAGAGAGCGGTAGAACTTACTGAGTTTGAAAAGATTCTCCAGGTCCTCCTCGTTACACTCGTGCACAAAGCACAGACCAATTCTGACACCGTGGACTCTCTTGTCTTGCTGATACCTTGCGAAAATCGGCGTCTGAAAAAAACAGATGTAATAAAACCACATATTGTAAACGATCCTTTCAACACATGCCATACGTTTTGGGGAGTGAAACAAAAATATTTCAAAACAAGTTACTTACAGTGATCAAACGATCACTACTTTGGCTTGCATCTTTGCTATACATTTGTTTTTCTTTCGTTGTTATTGGAAGGATAAAAAGATAGACCGTACATTTTTGTGCACGTGTATCTGTTTTGTTTTCTTTTATTTTGTCCAAGCTTCTCAATTTAGGTTCAGAAAGCTTGGCAGTAAAAGTCAGTGTACCTATGCGATTTTTTTTGTTTCACGGTGTTATGATTACATAATAAAGTTCATTAGGTAAGAAGTTAGTATAATTCGCATTTATAGTTGTTTCTAGACCATCATTATTATAGATGGCTTGGTCAACTTCATAATATAACCGTGCTAACTGTGTCACCTTCACTTCTCACTACATTTAGCGCTACACTCGACGGTTTATTGGTAGGTTCACTTCTGAACTATAGCTCTTTATTATTTAAACGTTGTCAACGACGCGCGGAAACAAAAGCACGCAAAATTAAACGTTATCATCTGCAGCGCAGAGTGATTTCAAGACCTGAATTATGTTTCAATCAAAGAAGGTTGACTTTTATAGCAACCCTATGATAATGTTAAATTAAATTAAAATTGATTCAATAAAATGACTACGCAGAATGTATGAACAAAATACTCGGGTCGTGAGGGTGTACGATCAGTCACCGGAAAGGCATGCGCTACTATAAAAGACCGACATTCCTCGTACCCGGACACTCAAGTGCCCAGCACAAAGGCAGCGCCGTTGGCGCTGAATAACAAAAGCAACCTGTGTCGCGATAAATAATAAAAAAAATAAAAAAATTAAGGCAATCTTTTGCTTGAAACATTCCCCCCCGATCCGCCGCTACGAGGAATCTCAAGTATCGTTCGGTCGTCGCTCTGTTTGCATTTATTTTGACCATGGCTGAATGTCACGCTGAATTTTCCAAGAATAACAACTTCCACCAGAGATGCAGCGCAACTATACGCTCTAGATATGACCGGCGTGTCGCTGGAAAGATGCGCATTTTCCTACCCTTGACCCCGTGACCTCTCCAATCCAACCGGGAACTGCTAATATCCGTTTCAGCAAACGGATATTAGCAGTTATCATTAGTCTTGATCGTACACAGCACAGTGGTGGGTATAACTTTCGATGGTCGTGTGTTGCCAATTTAACGTAAGTTTAAGGTGGAGAATATTTACGCAAGAGTAAGTTCTTAACTTATGAAGCTGATTCTTGCCAGGCGCCTTGCTTTTCCTTTCCACATAACCGCTAAAATTTCAACACTTCTAGAGCACCCACGGACCTCAACGACAGCAAGAAGGCTCGCACGGTCTCAAAGTATTCACTGCCTCACAGAACAGCTAAACCAGCAACAAAGAAAAAGCCTTCCATTAATGTTTTGTGTCATGAAAGTTCAATAAATGCACAAAAACGTCCAACAGCGTGCCCCCATGGAATGTTCACAATGTTATTTGCATCGCCAAAAATATACAATGCATCACCGAACGTTAAGTCCCTACCCAAATGTAAACGTAGTTATCTAGGCCAGCTGTCAATGTTGCAATGCTCGTAGTTATATGATTTGAAATGTATAGGCGATTATAGAAACTTTTATATGGGTAAATCGAACCCTTTTTCCGGTAGCGAACGCCATTCATCTCTGTCTATTCGTTTGTTAGGTCAGCATTCATATTACCATTAAAAATCGCGTATGACATTATAATGGATGGCTAAATATGCGCGTCCTGAACTACTATATCATATGGCATCCCTACATATTGGTGTCTGTTTCATTAATAAAAGTGGTATACTGAACATAAAATAAAAGCGTACTAGAGCTCTATAACTGATTTTCTTTTACTATAGGATTTCGTTTTATCTTGCCCTGTCTCGTTTTCATTTAGGCCTGCCGAGATCTCGTCTAGCTGCACGAAAATCAGCATTTTCTTTGTGTACCTGACATCGCTCGTGCTGAAAATAAGCCATATTTCAACGTTTTCATCAGATAACAGGTTCGTAAATGTTGCTATCTAATTTTAAACCGATCGCGCCAAATTTTGGCGGAAACAGTAATTGGCGGCGAGTAAAGTGTTTCACAATAGGGCAACACAACAACTGATTTGAGAGAAACCATGTATTTAGTTATAAATGGCGGTTTAAAATGCAGATTGAAATCCGGAGAATTACACAACCTGTTTGAGCAGATCCTAAAATATACAAGGACAGCCAGCAACGTGTTGGAGGTTCGGCGTGCATACAGAATAACACTTTAGAGAGGAATGTGCTTTGATATACGTTTTACTACTTTTTTCCTCTTGGGATCTGTAATACTGACTATGATATCTTACTACTGAGTTAGTTGATGTGATACTAACTTTTACGGCATAAAATAACTCCTAAAGCCTACGGCAGCGTTTATGTACACAAGATGTGTTCCTCACAATAACAGTAAACTGTAATCGCGTTTTAAAAAACATGAACTTATAAATAAGTATTTTATGTTCCTTCAAGTGAAGCTGAACGACGTCTTTAAAAGAAATAATGTAAAGGTTGTTTCTAGCGTAGTTTTAGCCCGTGAATCTGATTATCACGTTCGTTTCCCCCGAAGATGTAGATAAACGCGAAAAAACACCCAAAGCCTCCGACCAGTCGTTACGTAATAGGAGGATCTTTCTGCCGCCAAGCGCATGTCGCTCGAGGGCCGCTCAGGTAATCGCAAGATTTCCAGGTATATTCGCCCGCTCTGGCACCAGTCGTGTCGTTCATTTCTGTCATTTTTAAAAATAGAAAAAGCGCTCGCGCATACCCCTTGATACGCGCTGAAGATGCGCGAGATTGCGAACTCCAAAAACTCTTTTTGTGACGTCACTCTCTTGGATAAAGGCCTTCAGCATTACTTTGAAAATACTTTTCTGCAGCCTCTATGCACCAAACTAAAAATTAATTTCCATAATCAAGATCCCGGAGGACAAATTAAGAAGATTTAAGTGTGTTTCCTTAATTACAAAACCGCCTAAGCTTTTCTTTCATAACACACGTATACAATATGTATATATATATATATATATATTTTTTTTTTTTTCAACCATATGTTTATTTTAGAGCAGATTGCGATTCGCAAGGTAATTCTGCTTTTACTCAGGTGTACGACGAGAAATGGAAGGAGAGGACGTGACGAGAACGCGCGGGTACGTAGGAACATCGAGATATGGTTCAACTAATTATTGCACAGACGCAAATGCTAGCTGCCGTTGTCTCTTTCACTGTTCGAACGCGATCGAACGCCGAATGCCGGCGTTTGATGCGCGGTGTTCGCCTTCGAACGCCCTCGAAGAGTGAGTAGGGACAAAGACAGGTAGCTTTGCGTCTATCCACTGATCATTCCAAGCAGATCTCAGCGTTCTGAAGTCTCCGCTCGCTCTCGTTTCTTTCTTCTATTTCAATTTATCGTCGTAGTCTAAGACTTGATTCTATTGGGAGACGTTAAAGAGATACGAAACTGAAATTTGGAGTTCGCAAACTAAGGCTGCAGGTGCGTTGAACGGGACGCTACGAACTCTGAAATGATCACTCGCACATCGATATCTCAAACGGATGGCCGTACTATTGGACAAGAAGGGCGCGATCACGTGAGGACTATGACGTCATTGCCCCCCTGGAAAACTTAAAGAATGCGGAGCAGGCCTCGCTTCTCTCTTCCTCGCTTCAGTTCGCAAGCTCGAAGGGACGTAGCGAGCAGTAGAGGAAATGAGAATCGTGCCGTGACATGTCTCGTCGGCCTCGTGGGCAGTGTTCAATTGTGCACTTTTTCCAAAAATACGGGCATCCGTTAGATATATCGCTGTATGTGTGATGTTTATGGGTTTTGAACCGTCCCGCCCATCAGTCCAGCCTTGTTTTGTTAGATCGAAATTTTGGTTCAGTATTCTTTCAACCTAAAAATTCAATTCTGTTTTCGAATTTTCTTAACTTCACCAAGCACTTACCACGTAAATATTGCTCTATGTTGTTTGTAGTGAAATTTTACTTTTCACATATGCATCTTCTAGAGGCAGATTAGATTTTAGAATTCAAAGATAAGGCAATTTACATCACAGTGGTATAACGCAGTTATGCTAATCGCTGCGCAATAAATATTACATTTAGCAGATAATAAATATTACAGCACCAAATTTTGAGAGATTTTACTTCGAGTGGTATTTAATCAATTATTTTAACTCTTACTGTAATACGCTCTATATACGCCTGCACGCTTGCTTGCTTGGAAACACAACAACTATATTCATAATATTAAAGATGAAAAAAAATATAATTTATTTTCCAACGATGCTGGTCTAGACAATGTAAGAAGCTTTTAAAAATCAAATTGACTAGATCCAGGCAAATTACTATTTCACTGAACGTTTGGCCGTCAGTCACTTCCACAAAAAACAGTAGCTTTTAATTAACGCTAATTTGATCTCAGTAAAATAGACAACACTATTATTAAGGTCTACAATAACCATACCTCCGAAAATTCAGATTTCAATGATGTCGCAAAATTATTATTCTCTGCTCACGAGCAAATGAAGCTCAGTAACTATGACCTTTCTAGAAGCGCAAATTAGTCGAAGTGCGTTCGTAACTTTGCAATGTCGTGCTTGCGTTCAACCAGAGTCGTGCTTTTTCTGCCATTTGTTAAAGCTCTTGTCCCCCTTAAAAGGTATCCCACTAAAATACACAAATTGCTTTTCCTCCATCTGGATGCCAGTTTTCTCACCAATCAATCCTGGAATTATTATAAATTAGTACCTATAAGTACATTGCTGAATTTGACCTGCTGTCAAAAGGCAATAGCTAACGCAGCTTCTGCTGTTTTAACAACCTCTCCCGTAAAGAGGGTCTATGCAAAGCCACTCTGTGGAATCCGGGTCTCCTTAAAAGGTACATG